CATAGTGGCGGTAGGGATCCTTGGGTGGATACCTAACAACAGGGGGGTGGAGACTCAATGTCCCTGTAAGGGAGTCAGTTCCATAGTGGCGGTAGTGATCCTGGGGTTGATACCTAACAACAGGGGGTTGGAGACCAAACGTCCATGCAAGAAAGTCGGGTCCATAGTGACGGTAGAGACCCTGAGGTGGATACCATACGGTATGGAGTAATGATATTGGGCAATTTTGATGTATTTTACCTTGACACGCTATGAGGTATGTGTTTGCTATTTTACAGCACTGAATTGAGATGATTGATACAGGATGATTGGGTCTCTTGTTAAAAGTATATGCATGTTACATAAAGTGTAGACTTGCTGGATTTTTAATTTGCTTTCCAAAACTAGGCAGAAAACAGTAGCAGACAAAATATTTTTGAAAATAGAATAATGATGTCATAATATACAATAACATAAGATGGCATCAGTAAGTTTTGAACTCATGCATGTTTTCCTTCATAGTTTTAATTGGCGGGTACTAAGCCAAAGTAAAATGCATGAACAAACCAACTGGTTGAAATTTGACCACAAGTGTTTGAAAAGTTTATTGATATAACCTTGTAGGGTATTAAGGTAAATTATTTCCGTTATCAAACAGTGGGTAAAAGTTTACACAAGTAATCCTAAAATATGTTTTTTATTGAAACTTTGTGCTGATAATTTCAAGGATTAGATCATTGTTGACATGGTTTTGTGTGGGTTGTGAACTTGAAAGCTTAAAATGTCATTAGTCGTTCCAGTCCGGAGTTTTAAATGCGACTCTCTTGACACAATGTCTGAAATATTAAATGATTTTCTATCCTTTTGAATCTTGCTGCAGTTTTGTATTTATCTTAGGAATGCTTTCTCCATGGTGGATAAAAGTTCAAAAAATAATCTAAGTTAAGATGACTTTTATGAAACAACACTTGATGTCCTAAACTATGACATTTTTGTGTTGTCTATCATATATTCATATTACATGTGAGAGATATATAGAACTTGACCCAAACTTCTGACTTTAGTTCACCAGAGGCTTGGAATAATAAAAAGAAATTCCGAACTATCGAAAGAGTTATGGCCTTTTGTTTACTGTGCCAAATTTTGTATGTGAGTACATGTACCTGTTTAGATGGCCAAAAGTGATTTTTAGGTCACCTGAGCTTTAGCTCAAGTGACCTATTGCTANATAACTTCTTGTGTACTACTTTACAGAGTTATAGCCCTTTGTTCATTTTGAATACCAAAGTTTGTCTGAAGGTAGGGGACTTCGGATTGCTTACAATACTTTGCTTTGTTTCTTGTAGTACCCACTGACTGTCTTGTGATGTCCGACAATTAAATGAATATAGCCCGACTTTAAAGGCCTTACTGTCTGTGGTATCCCCACCAGTCTTCAGTACACACTTTTGCTATTGTATAAAATTATGTAACATGAATGTATACCTTCAATATCGAATCTAGTTTTGATAAGGTGTGTCTGGAATTGCTTTTCATACCATTGAAAGTTGTTGAGAAGGACATTATATGGTATTATAAGAAGGGAAATATATATGGTATGATAAGAAGAGAATTAAATATATCATGTTGTGTTTGAAGACGAAGATATTTTATGTTTATATTTACATTCAAATTTTGAGTTTTTATTTTTCTCCCCAAAATCAATACAGATTACAATGCCCAAATTTAGAACTAAGGATAGATGGGTTTAGGTTTTTGTTGACTCTATCGGCTGTTATTGGCTGTTGAACTAGCTGTGTTGACTCTATCGGCTGTTATTGGCTGCCAAACTAGCTGTGTTGACTTTATCGGCTGTTATTGGCTGTTGAACTAGCTGTGTTAATTGACTCTATCGGCTGTTATTGGCTGTTGAACTAGCTGTGTTGACTTTATCAGCTGTTATTGGCTGTTGAACTAGTTGTGTTGACTTTATCGGCTGTTATTGGCTGTTGAACTAGCTGTGGTGACTTTATCAGCTGTTATTGGCTGTTGAACTAGTTGTGGTGACTTTATCGGCTGTTATTGGCTGTTGAACTAGCTGTGTTGACTCTGTCGGCTGTTATTGGCTGTTGAACTAGCTGTGTTGACTGAATTATGACAGGTTTGGATGACTTGTATTGAAAGCTAATGAATTTCTTAATTTGCTTTGTTGACTTGTAAGGAAACTTTCGAATCTTATGTTGTATTAGTTAATGGATTTGCTATGTTAGCTGAATAAGGAGAGTTTAGGACGACTTATGCTAGCTAGGAATTAGCCTTAAACAGCTCTCCATGTTGGACTTAATTTAGCTCATTAAATGTTGTTTATATATGTTGGTTATGATAAGAGCTGATAATAAGAAACTTTCCTACTGGGGGAGTAATGTCTACCTTTCCATCCGATTAAACTTGTAATCAGTCGCGGCATTGGTAGGGATTACGGTCCAGTCCAATCAGAGAGGCCAAAGTTTTCTCTAATCCCCAGTTTAGGAGGAATAAAAGTTGTGTATATATATACATTTCTGATGTTTTGATATTAAATAACTAAAGTACATTGGATAGTGATAGGTTTAGGTCTTTCAGTGCACATGTACTGAAGATAGTAATGTATTTGATGTGGAAGAAGGCCTGACTTCTTCACTCTTAGGTAGGTTTATGCTTCAATTTTACATTTCCTATCAAATGTTAAAAATGTCAAATATCTTTGACTGGAAAAATATCACTGCCAGTACCTAGTAAAAGCTATTATGGTGTGTTGTATATATGTATCATTGTAAATATGATACACTGTTATATTATGGTATGTTTTTGCATCACAGTACCCTGCAACAATAATCATATATTGGAAAAATATAGGTGATATCTTTATTTTCCTTTCTGATCTCCTACCTGCTGATACTGTGACTTGGTTAAGATGATCATATCTCTTCTTTAGCTGATCAGTAAGTGAAAAAGTTAGACCATTGATGCTATATGTAAACATAAACATTTGAAGCTAAAGGTCAACAAACGTAAGCTGGATACTATTTCCTGTATTTGGCAACTGCAGCAGTGATATTGTTCTAATTAGATTTGTAAATGCTTAAAGTTCTTGTACTTCTAATTCATCATGCTTCATCATACCGATGTCCACATAGATTGAAATGTCAAAATATAACATGGTCAAAAGCAAACAATAGGTTTAAAAATATGATAAAGAGCAAACAAAGTCAAAATTAGACCAGAGAAATATATTAAAAAGAACAATGCAAACAAGATCGAGTATGGTCTTTAGTTAAACACAGTCAAGGGAAAATTCTAACAAGGTTAAGGGTTAACAGTGTCAAATGTCAACAAGGTCAGGGGCAGACAAGGTCAGTCAGGGGCAGACAAGGTCAGGGGCAGACAAGGTCAAGTGGTAATATATATAACCTGCAGGTCAAGAGGAACAGTATATTTCTAGGTAAAAAATAATGTATTCACAATACTATATTCACTATATACTGGGATAACAAATCAGTGTTGTATAATGATGTGTATTTGGGAGAAATCAAGGTTGTACCATTAATAGAGTAACAGCATTCCGTATTACAGGTAAGGCGATATGGAGGTGGACATGTAGGTAGATTAAACATCTTTAATAATAGCACTGAATTGTAGACAGTTGATTGGACAACATTTATAATGAATGAATCCCTTTCCTCAAGCTCATTATTATAATTTTAAATCCAAATTGTAAGAAAAGGAGGCTAGTTCAGTAGGTGAACCAAATTTGAACAACTTCTGATTATTGGTAGTCAGCTAAATAGATATTTGACACTCACCAGAGTTTGAACTCTTGTGATTCATTGTATTTCTGTTCCTTAGGCTACAATGTAAAGGCTGTAGCTGAAAATGAATTTATTAGATTTTGTGTGTACCTGTACATTTTTTTAACTAGGGACAAGTATGCATTTGAGAATTATTCATTGAGTTTATATATAATACACTGTTGCTTATTGGGAGTTTTGGTGTTTACATATACAATCGATAATTACCGGTAGTCGGCTGAGAAATTTATTTATTGCCCTATACAATAGACCCAGACAGAATGGAAACCGCTAAAATGTGGTACAGTTGATGTAATGACGTATTGTACTTAGTGGGGTTGGGAGGGGGAGGGTAAATGGGTAATGGGGTACAGCTGGTGGTCTGTTAATGATGAGGTGCAGTACCTGGGAGGTTCCTAATTGAACTTAAGAGAATTAATTTATAAAATACTGTGCTTACCTGCTCCCAATAAAACAATTATTGAATAATAGATTTAATTATTTTCCTGAGGGATGTCATGTAACTTTAAAGACATGCTAGACCAACAGGTGTGAAGTGAAGTTCAGGAGACTGTCTACTGAATGGGCAGTGTGAACTGAAAGTCAAACCAGAAAGAACATAGCCCCAGCATATTTGATTGTAGAACAAGAAATAACATCTGTAATCCTCAGTTTCGATTTAAAACGTCCAGAATTTGAAATCCTTAGATCCAGGAGTTTTATGATGTGGGTATGGAGGCTTGCGAAGAAAAAATGTGGAATACAGTATGTAATTTTGGGAAAATTATAATGTCGAGTTAAAGGGATATTTAACTTATCTAAGCTTGTGTTAACCTGGTTATTCTACATCGATGATAGACAGAGTGGGGCGGGGGAAATCTAATTTTGTTGACCTAGATAGTCGTTACATAAAGTGTACAATATATTTGAACAATGTTTCTAAGTAGCGATATTTTATTTACTTCACTATACACTTCAGACACACTTCTCGAGTGGATGTATGTTAGCACAAGACGTTTCACTGTGGTGTGTTAGCTTTTGTTTGGTCGTGTGAGACCGGGACCTAGATAAATGTGATGTATATATATCACCTGTCCATAACTAGCAGTAAGAATACATTATAAATCAAAACGACAATCAAAATACCGGTGTATCTTTATATTGTGTAATGTAGATTAGATTGTATATGTCATAAATTTCATATATGTTTTCCAGATGTAACCAGTCAATGCCAGCTCAACAGATCGCCTCCTAGTGAATTGACCAATATGGATCGATGTGATGAATGAAATGTGTCTATTTCTATGGGAGGCCACCATGCAGGTAATATGGCTGTTAAATATAATCTTCATCTGGTAACCAGTGGTACTTAGTATCAGAGCAATAAACGTCCTTGTAACTTAATGACACATTCATAATAATATTGAGGAGTAATTATTGAAACTTAACAGTGGAGCCAACTCAGTGTAAAGGTTTAAATCATGAGCGTTACATATATTGCAAAGTTTGATTTTCAATCGCTGATTTTGTTATTTAAATTAACAACATGGTATATAAGTATTTATACCGGAAGTCCTTCAATTACATGTTTAGAATACTGATAATTAGTACAGGTAATTATATAATCTACCTGTAGATAACTATTTTGATTGAAAAATTGTATATAATTTTGTAACAAACAATAAAATGAAAGAGATGTGCATGATCATATTATTTTTACTTCCTTATTGGTTTTACTGAAGGGGTCTATCATAGTCTGCACTCAATATGCCAGTCTGTCATCCCGTTTGTCTGTGTATCATTTTGTCAAGGCAATTTTTTGCATACTCTATCACCTACAATTGCCAAATTTTGTTATGTGAGTGCATTAATAATTCTCAAATGAGGTCTCATGCCCCACAAAATACAGATTTATGTCCTTTTGTTCGCTCTCTGTCACATCCAGTTATACTTTAAACCAGCAAACCATCGGGAAGTTCAAAAGTGGAGGTCTCTTTTCAGTGGTGGGCTCTTAATACATTTTTGTACATTTACAATTGTAAATCACAAGGAAATTACCACATTCCAGAACATTGGAAGTGGTCTCATTAATTAACACAGGTGGTCTCACAGTATAAGTGTATGGTCACCAACACAGGTTTAATCTGTCACCTGCAAGGGGCCAAATTTTCTTTATGAGTACCTCTAGGATTGCTGGGTATCACATACTATAATCAGGTATTGTGACACACTGTATACAGAGTTACTGCCCTTCTTTTCATTTTTGACACAAAAGTTGTTCAATTGTGGGGGATCGTGGATTGCTCCCAATTCTTTGCCTTGGTATTATTTTTTATTATTCACCTTTGATTGTATAGAGTTGACATCAGAGGATTTAAGAAGTCCTGTAGTCAGAGAGTCAAATCTGTGTATTATTGTATTTGTATATATACATGAACCCTGTTCATAGCTGTTTGATAAGGAAAATGCCTGACTTTAGTTTTGCAGGTGATGTATAGGTTACAATGAATAAAAACAATGGAAGAGGGAGCTGTCAGGAAACCCTCTGGACGTGGCCAGCGTGACAAGTCGAGGAAGCTTTCTGGACGTGGCCAACATGAAAGGGGTAGGAAAGTGTTGGGTCCTGGAAGAGTAGTGTGCTGGGGCTGTAATGAGTTTGGTCAGAATTCTAAACAAGCCAAGGATGATGTCGCCTTTAAAGATGGTCTCCTGAGCCATTTCAGCAGTGACCTTGGTGGTCAAGTGAAAGTCGCTGCCTGTGGAGCCAGTCACACTCTTGTCGTTACAGGTAAGCAAAATTTAAAACATCATAACATTGTATGGATTTTGTCCAGAGCAGGCGAAATCTCATAACACTTTAGTACTGGATGAGCCTGGAAATACACAGGGGGAACATGAACCAAATTCTTTTCAATTTATGGATGAATTGATCAGTTGATTCACTGGAAGCCTTTAAAATTGACAAATGCACACATTCTTCTACAAGATCGGACACTGGCTGTTAGGAGGATGTTCAACTTCATACACACGCACAAAATCTTAACCTAGAAAATATGGAATTTATTTAATTATGATCATTATTGGTTTGACAAAGATCTTTAATAAATCTCATACTTGTACAATAGAGGATGGATATGAATATCCCTTCCATACTAATACTGAGGTTAGAGAAAGATCATTACAGCTGAAACCTCTTTACTGCGTCAAGAGAAGTAACTCTGGTAACAGTCCAGCATCTCTCATGTCTATCTGCTCCATCAATGTTAGATGATGTTTATCTTAGCTTATAGGTTGTGTATTCCATTAACTTTTGTGATTGGTACATTGTGTGAGTATATTATCAGTATATTGTGTGAGTATATGTATCAGTAACATTGTGTGAGTATATTTATCATTAACATTGTGTGAGTATAGTATCAGTATATTGTGTGAGTATATTTATCAGTAACAGTGTGTGAGTATATTATCCGTAACATTGTGTGAGTAGAGTATCAGTAACATTGTGTTAGTATATTTATCAGTAAGAGATCGCCGTAGCAACAAAGATGTTAGATGATGTTTATCTTAGCTTATAGGTTGTGTATTCCATTAACTTTTGTGATTGGTACATTGTGGGAGTATATTCATCAGTAGCATTCTGTGAGTATATTTATCATTAACATTGTGTGAGTATAGTTATCAGTAACATTGTGAGTGTATATGTATCAGTGACATTGTGTGAGGATATTTATCAGTAACATTGAGTGAGTATAGTATAAGTAACATTGTGTGACTATAGTATCAGTAACATGGGGTGAGTATATTTATCAGTAGCATTGGGTGGGTATATTATCAGTAACATTGTGAGTGTATATGTATCAGTGACATTGTGTGAGGATATTTATCAGTAACATTGGGTGAGCATAGTATCAGTAACATTGGGTGAGCATAGTATCAGTAACATTGTTGGAGTATATTGATCAGTAACATTGTGTGACTATAGTATCAGTAACATTGTTGGAGTATATTGATCAGTAACATTGTTTGAGTAGCGTATCAGTAACATTGTGTTAGTATAGTATCAGTAACAGTGTGTGAGTATATTATCCGTAACATTGTGTGAGTAGAGTATCAGTAACATTGTGTTAGTATATTTATCAGTAACAGTGTGTGAGTATATTTATAAGTAACATTGTGTGACTATAGTATCAGTAACATGGGGTGAGTATATTTATCAGTTACATTGTGTGAGTATATTCTCAGTAACATTGTGTGACTATAGTATCAGTAACATGGGGTGAGTATATTTATCAGTAGCATTGGGTGGGTATATTATCAGTAACATTGTGCGAGTATATTATGAGTAACATTGTGTGAGAATAGGATCAGTAACATTGTGTTAGTATAGTATCAGTAACAGTGTGTGAGTATATTTATCAATAACATTGTGTGAGTATGTTTATCAGTAACATTGTGGGAGTATATTCATCAGTAACATTGTGTGCGTCTATTATCAGTAACATTGGGTGAGCATAGTATCAGTACAATCCACAGCCAGTATAAGAACTCTGTATACTTATATGTCTAATGTATCAGTAACATTGTGTCAGTATATTTATCAGTACAATCCCCAGCCAGGATAAGGACTCTGTAACATTGTGTGAGCATAGTATCAGTACAATCCCAAGCCAGTATAAGAACTCTGTATACTTATATGTCTAGAAGCTAGGTTTGCAATGGAAGCAGTTAGTTTAAACACAAGTTTTTAACTTTAAACGTATTTAGAGAATGGAGTATATGTATCAGTAACATTCTGTGAGTATATTTATCAATAACATTGTATGAGTATATGTATCAGTAACATTGTGGGAGTATAGTATCAGTAACATCGTGTGAGTATAGTATCATTAACATTGTGTGAGTATATACTCACACAATGTGTGAGTATAGTATCAGTACAATGCCCAGCCCGTATAAGGACTCTGTAACATCGTGTGAGTATAGTATCATTAACATTGTGTGAGTATGTTTATCAGTAACATTGTTTGAGTATAGTATCTGTAGCATTGTGTGAGTATAGTTATCAGTAACATTGTGTTAGTATAGTATCAGTAACATTGGGTGAGCATAGTATCAGTAACATTGTTGGAGTATATTGATCAGTAACATTGTGTTAGTATATTTATCAGTAACATTTTGTGAGTATATTTATCAGTTACATTGTGTGAGTATATCATCAGTAACATTGTGTGCGTCTATTATCAGTAACATTGGGTGAGTATAGTATCAGTCCAATCCCCAGCCAGTATAAGGTCTCTGTAACATTGAGTGAGTATAGTATAAGTAACATTGTGTGAGTATGTTTATCAGTAACATTGTATGAGTATATGTATCAGTAACATTGTGGGAGGATATTCATCAGTAACATTTTGTGAGTATATTTATCAATAACATTGTGTGAGTATGTTTATCAGTAACATTGTATGAGTATATGTATCAGTGACATTGTGTGAGGATATTTATCAGTAACATTCCGTGAGTATCTTATCAGTCACATTGTGTGAGTATATGAATCAGTAACATTGTGTGCGTATATTATCAGTATATTGTGTGAGCATATTTATCAGTAACATCGTCTGAGTATAGTATCAGTAACAGTGTGTGAGTATATTATCAGTAACATTCTGTGAGTATATTTATCAGTAAGAGATCGCCGTAGCAACAAAGATGTTAGATGATGTTTATCTTAGCTTATAGGTTGTGTATTCCATTAACTGTGGTGGTTGGTACATTGTGTGAGTATATGTATCAGTGACATTGTGTGAGGATATTCATCAGTAACATTTTGTGAGTATATTTATCAGTAAGAGATCGCCGTAGCAACAAAGATGTTAGATGATGTTTATCTTAGCTTATAGGTTGTGTATTCCATTAACTTTTGTGATTGGTACATTGTGTGAGTATATCATCAGTAACATTGTGTGCGTCTATTATCAGTAACATTGGGTGAGCATAGTATCAGTACAATCCCCAGCCAGGATAAGGACTCTGTAACATTGTGTGAGTATAGTATCAGTACAATCCCCAGCCAGTATAAGAACTCTGTATACTTATATGTCTAGAAGCTAGGTTTGCAATGGAAGCAGTTAGTTTAAACACAAGTTTTTAACTTTAAACGTATTTAGAGAATGTATAGTGGTTGACAGTTGGGTGTTACATTTTCATGTTCCAGCACAGCTTGCTTGAATTGAATATCAATTGTAGAACAAAGTGTTGTTCAATGTATTGTATTTGATGTGTATCGCGTTGTTGTTGACTATTGAGGAGAGTCGGGCCCTTCATGTGGACAGAGTGTCAGTATTTGTATGGAAATATGTTGATTTACAATTAGTGCATTATATAATACAAGGTGTTCTGTATTTCTGTAGCCAACCCATGTGAGCTATAGACTGCAATAGTCATTCTTTACACACCATACTATTGACCTATTGCGTTAATAAAAGTCTGATGATCCAGTGTAAAAAAATCCGGTTATCTGCAGCTTCATATTGATGCGTAAAGCCGGTTGCTGAAGAAACAGTAAATATTTAGTAAGCCATTATTAAACTTTGAAAGGAAATGCAAACAAAGCGAAAAGGAAAACCTTAGCTACTGGTATTTCTAATAATTTATTGATCATCTGTCCTCTGTTCAGCACAATAAACGCCCTTTATACTTGTAAGCGAGGGTTGTTTATCAAAAGTGTGAATTAATATTCAATTTTTCATGAAATTGATTCTGATTGTAAAGGTGTTGGGGCTGCCGTCATACATAAAATGTCTTAATGAGATGGAATTATTGACAGAGTAAGCAGGTAATTATATCATATAAGACTTAAATGACATCCTCACAATTCTGTCACCTTTACACAGAATATTGAAATATAATTACCCCCCTTGGAGGTGAGATAGGGGGATTTCAACCCAAAAAGGGTCCATGGTGGGCCATTTAGTGGTTATAGGCTCTGATCGTCTATGATCACTAGCCCTCCCCCACTGGGTTGCGGGGTCATGGCTGCATGAGGCAGTCTACAGGTGGCGGAGTCAAGGCTGCTTGGGGCAGTCTACAGGTGGCGGGGTCAAGGCTGCGTGGGGCAGTCTACAGGTGGCGGAATCAAGGCTGCATGGGGCAGTCTACAGGTGGCGGAGTCAAGGCTGCATGGGGCAGTCTACAGGTGGCGGGGTCAAGGCTGCGTGGGGCAGTCTACAGGTGGCGGAGTCAAGACTGCATGGGGCAGTCTACAGGTGGGGAGTCAAGGCTGCATGGGGCAGTCTACAGGTGGCGGGGTCAAGGCTGCGTAGGGCAGTCTACAGGTGAAAGGGGGGTCAAGGCTGCGTGGGGCAGTCTACAGGTGGCGGAGTCAAGGCTGCATGGGGCAGTCTACAGGTGGCGGGGTCAAGGCTGCGTGGGGCAGTCTACAGGTGGCGGAGTCAGGGCTGCGTGGGGCAGTCTACAGGTGGTGGAGTCAAGGCTGCGTGGGGCAGTCTACAGGTGGCGGGGTCAAGGCTGTGGGGGGCAGTCTACAGGTGGCGGGGTCAAGGCTGTGTGGGGCAGTCTACAGGTAGCGGAGTCAAGACTTCATGGGGCAGTCTACAGGTGGGGAGTCAAGGCTGCATGGGGCAGTTTACAGGTGGCGGGTCAAGGCTGCGTGGGGCAGTCTACAGGTGCTGGTTGCAGGTTGGTGGTTTTTCTCCGGATACTCCAGCCTTCCTCCACAACCAAAACCTGTTACGTCCTTAAACTACCATAGCTGTTAATAGAACGTAAAAC